GATATTTTCAGGCTGAGCTGCATGTGTGAACGCAAACAGACACATTTTTTAAGTCAGACTAGCTACATCAGTATCTTCTTTTAAAAACACATTTTTATCATAAGGCCTTCTTCTTTTTTCTTTAAAGCACTTTGTGACGTTGGTTTTGAGAAGTGCTCTATAAATAAACTTTATTATTATATTATTATTACTATATAAGACCGTATTGGAACTTTTTCCTGCCAAACCGCCGTAAAGTTTCCTTCATAAAGTCGGTTAAGACGGTGTGAGAACGCAGCAGAAAATGTTCTGAAAAATTCAATGCAAGCAAGCGGGCGGGCGGGGGTGATGACCTCTAGGTCACGCTACCGTTTGGCAACCAGCTGGAGCCTCCTTGTCCTTAATAAAACCGCTTCATTCTCCTCTCTGCTCGACATTTTATTAACCACTCATTCGTTGATACTGCCAATACGTCCAATCACAAGTTGACCTTGATATAAAGGCAACATTTATGGTTGTCACTATTACGTCATGTACTGCCTCCGTCGACCCTCCTCCCCCAATCCTTCAACTTTAGAAGCCTCCCGCTGTGAGGTGAATATGTGAACTCAGGATGATTTCAAGGGGCCTGTTTTGAAATTGTCTAGAATTTTTCAGGAGTGCTTGTATGAAAAGGCCGGGTAAAACGCAAAAAGAAATAAACTTGGTTAAGCATTATTTTCCTGTTCTGTATTTTAGTCATCATTATGTTGAGATGAGTCAACTATTAATTGTTTGGAAAAAAATCATTAATTATAGGCGAGCTAACGTCACACATACGTGCTTTACTTTGACTGTATTGTGAAAACATCCAATACAGCCAAAACAAGCCAATCTCATTTAGTATGACACTTAAATTACAACATTTATGTATTCCCATTTAACGGAGTATCTAATAACTGTTTTGGTGCTTCGCTACAAACATAGCAATTACATGAAATGATAGCTCTGCGACTGATTTCTGTACCAGGCCGATTACAGGTAAGCATAATTAGTGCTCCCAAAGCAGCACACATGCAATTGTAAAAGTATCTGGGGTAGTGTAATACCTACCAGATGCCAAAACAGCAAGGAGAGCTCGGGGAGGATGTCTTTCAATTAGGATCTCACTCCGGAGTCCAGACAATTATCCACAGAGGTCTGCTGCGCTTCCCTTCCCATAAATTGGCCATGTTTAATAAACTCAATAACAAAAGAAAACAGAGCTGCTCGCGCTGCAGGTTTAGATAGTTTTGATTAATGGGTTGAAATTGCATCTGAGAAAACCTGAAACAAATCTGATTTTTTTTCCATGTTACACTGATTGAAAGGGCACCATTTTCAAAGGATTTACAAAACAAAGAATGGTGCCAATGGTTTGATCATCAGAGCGATGATTGTTTTGTAGCAAAAATTGTATTTTCTTTTCCAGAATATAAAGTGTGAAATGCATGTTACAGTTTTTAAATCCTTCATTTAGACTTGTTTTACTTGTTATCTGTCGCTCCCTGGACGCAGAGCCTAGTACAAGTACATTGATGTTATTCTTAAATAAAGACACTGGTAGGAATTGCTCTACAGTTATAATATGGAGCTAAACAGTGTTTTGAAATGTAAAATTCCTAACTACTGAAATATAGCAATTGATTATTTGACAGCTCGAATGTGTTGTTAACCTACTCTAGGCTGGATCCCCCATCTGCTAAAGCGATGTCACCTTTCTCAAATATAGAATCAATATATCTTGATCTTCCCAGTGTTGTTTAAGTGTGTAGTTTGCACTGTGACTGCTGCGGTGAGGTCATGAATTATATTGATTCTCAATACAAGAAGCTGAGCTCTGTGGACTTAAACATCGATCTATTGAAGCCGAAGCAGGGGTTGATTAACAAAGGAATATCTGACCAAGCATTAGTTTACAAGGCTCATTTCAGTTAAGATACAATGCAGGGAAGTGGTCTTCTTTTATTTTCTGTTTGCCTTCATTCAACCTTTTATTCCCAAGATATTGAAAATGAAAGAACTGATTATGATCAGGAAGACTACTGACTTTACACAATGCCACCAAATCCCCTCCCCGTGTAATTCCAGTCATAATCATTAATTCAAGAGTCATGTATGAATCTTAAGCTAAAAACAAAATCACCTCAGCCTACTGTCCCTTCTTCATCTGTGACTCTTTGAATCCTCCTCGATCTGCCTTGATAATCCTCATACTTCTGGGAGGATCTGGGATTACTGCAGAAGTTTATCTTTGCAAGAAAAAAATGATCATCTATACATGTTAGTTTCACATGCTGATCCTGAAATTTAAGTACTCACATGAACCTGGCTTAAAAAGGGCAAAGACGATGTATATAGGTCATTTAATGATTACATTTTAGTTTATATAGAATCCACAGGATAAGCCGTTGGTTTATTGACTACACACTCAAGATTGATGCTCTCTTTTCTTTTGTACAGATTAAGACAGTGTGCTCAAAACCACTTCCCCACATGGTGCAAACTGTTAATCATCTTTTCTTGGTTTGTTTTCATTGTGCTTTTTCTATTTAGTCAGTTTTGTCAATGAGGGAAAATGTCATATTTCTGAGGCTTCAATAAAATCTTAATCGTAATAGGTAACTGTTAGCAGATCTTAAGAAGTGGGCACATCAGGACAATACAGTCAGGTGCTGTGAAAACATTGCAGAAGTCGATTTCATTTCATTCCTTTAATGGTGGAACTTTTTTTACATGGAACACGAAATTATGGGGATGGTTGGGCGCAGAAGGCCTAGCTGTTCTGCCGATTCGCCCAATGTACAGAGGCTGTAGACCTCAAAACATGCAGAGAGGTCCAAGGTTCAAATCCACCCTGCGCCTATCTTACTCTATAACCACTAGCCTCCAAAATAAAGCCTAAAATCCCAAAAATAAATCTATAGTGGCTTTGGGAGTTCATTTTCTTCCAGTGTAAGCCATTTGGAAAAGTCTGTGGAAGACACTGAAATAAAAGAAGTTTGCAATGGCTGAACAACAAACAATATCTTACCTCTGTGGTAAATTACTCTCTGTGGTTATTGCCTCTCTTATTACTATTTATATCAGAATAGATTTATCTTCACATGGAGGTTTCTCATGTTTTTGCTCTCATGCTCACTCTTTCTTCTTTATGTATTTCTGATATCGACCATGTCTGTTTGTACGAGGTGTTTGACCTCAAAACCATTTACCCCATAAGATAAGGCTAATTCAAATGTTTCTTAAAATACTTTTACATCCTCTCTACATCAGTCACTCACAGAGGTGAAGTTCAGCATCTTCCCTAAGGACACTTTACTACTAAATACTTTTGTTATTTGCTTAAGGTGACAGAGGATTGAGACCTTGACAAAAGTCAATGCTGACTCTGTGCATCATATCTCATTGAGTGAACAACTGAGGGTCTTGCTGTTATCTAGGAAGCCATGGAGACCTTAAAGGAGAGGACAGTTTGAGACTTTGTACCCTTATTAAGACTGAAAGATACATAGATAAGTATCTGGCTAAAATTTGAATATACCGTTTGTGAAATCGTGAGATTTGCATGAGCTTAATCTCTCCTGGGCTACTTGCACGCCACAAAAGAACAAACATTAACTGAAGGCCAAGTGTGTGTATTTTAATTGGTCGTTTGCTTTCCAGTGCATGCAAAATGAAAAAGCAAATGAGCTGAAGGCAGCCCCTCTTGTTTATCTGAATGAAAGGATTCATTTTATCACTGAGTACAACTCAATGTTATTGAGTAAGACAGTTTGATTCCATTTTAATACTAAAATGCGCAGACTTCAATTATACAGATTCATTGTGAGTTTTGGGTTAAACAAGAAGGATGAGGTTTTTTTTTATAACAACACTTCCTAAAAACAGTTCAAGATCAGGAAAGAGATCAATCGTCCTACATTGTCCACATGGGGGCGCCAACATCAACACAACCCCAAAGCTCCTCACTGGAGCTTTTTTTTTTTTTTAAAGATTTATTTTTGGGCTTTTTGTGCCTTTAATGCAGAGATAGGACTGTGGATAGAGTCGGAAACCAGGGAGAGAGAGCGGGGAATGACATGCGGAAAGAGGCCACGGGTGGAAGCGAACCCAGGCCTCCCTCCTCACTGGAGCTTTAATCAAATCCAAACGGATAAATGATAAAAAAACTCCAATTGATATAAAAATTACAAATTGATACCAAATTCTCAGTTTGCACCAGGCTGTAAACATGTTGCTGTAAAAATTGGCATTTAAAATAGCCTCCCTCGGGATTCCTTGGCTTTTGGAGGCAGCCTCAAGTGGACACTCAATGAACTGCATTTTTTTTGCACTTCCTCATCGGTTTCAGTTTCCTCACCAGAGGTTTCAGCTTGGTTGTCATCCTCCCACTTATTAACATCACACTTTGCTCTTACACAAACATGGTGACAGCTTCACTTCAGGGATTTGTTCCTGGTATTTGGTCCTTAACGTTGTTGCTAAGACACATCCATCCCACAGTAGAATTCTGCTCTTACAAATGTCATCTCTTTCAACATCCAAGTCATATCTGAGCTCTGCCTAAAGTTGTCCAATGGAAACCTACATCAGATCATGTTTACAATCTCTTCAATGTAGTCTGAAATCTGGGCCTGATGTTGTGATCTACTTGCCAGGAACTCATCAAAGCATACGCTTCCTAAAATGACTAGAAGGTTATGATGATCACTTTTCTTTCATTTCCATCCTTTTCCCTCCCAATTTGGAGCTACTTCCAGTTGCTCACTGGGACATCAGAACGCTTGAAATGGAAATCTCAGTTGATGAAATCCAATGCAAGTTGTCAAAGTAAAATGAGTTTTCCGTGTGCCGCTGAGAGTATCAACCTATGAGCCGTGGGAGCTCCCAGTAATGGCGTTAAATCTGGACATCAGTAGTGCTGATGAAATGTCAAGGAATATCACTCCCTACCTCTTGCTGTGTCCTTAATATCATGTCTGGTTTTTCTCTCTCCACAGGACACCGAGATCATCAACACGGCCATCCTGACTGGACGCACGGTGGCCATTCCTGTCAAAATGGTTTCCATAGAGATGAACGGAGCTGTCACTGATGTCTCAGCCTTTGTGCAGTGCAAGTCCTCTAATGAAGACATTGTGAAGGTACAGTAAACCTGATTTCTTCAATCTCTGTATCTGTCAAATTGCTTTCTATAGAGACGAATGGAGCCGGTCGCTGGCCTTTTTCATGCTTAGTGCAGTTACAGTCCTCCAATGAAGACCTTGTTAAGGTGCGGCAAACAGGATTTCCTCAATCTCTGTATCGGAGAGAAGATGTCATTTTAGAGGATGTAATCCCTTTACTCGTCCACTGATGTGGGGGAGTGGCCCAGTGGTACAGGCCCAACAACAGGAGAGCACCAAAACGACTCGTGATTTAATTCTAGCAATACACCGGGGATGAACTCAATGAATGTATGACCACAGGCATACGACTCTAAATATAAATCAATATGGTTACAAGGTTGCAGTAAAAGCTCCATTATATGCTTCTCAGAAACACTGCACTCAACGTCAAAAAAAGGCACTTGTTCACAGACATCTGCTCATTTGAACAATTCTTACCTTTTCTGCTTGTTCACTTACAGCATGTGGAAACTCAAAAATACAACAGCCTTCTAAGTACTGCAAACTGGGTCTACTAGAGCCAGTAATTAGAGCCACTTTCTGATCATTTCCACTGCATAGTCTACAAAGTGACTTTTCTGAACACTCGACACAATGCAGGATTTTGCACTTCCTCATTGGTTTCATTTTTCCACACCGGAGGTTGCCGCTTGGCTTATGTATACTATTTAAAGGCTTTATATGGGATTTTTTGATCCAGCAGATGTCGCCCTTGAGCACCAGCATGAAACCAAAACAACGTGCGGTGCATTGTTGTGTTAGCATGCTAATGCTAGTGATCTTTATTATGCTCGTATCTTCACACTGCATGTAAATTTACCTGAAATGAGCGTGATCTAGAAACACAGTTAAGCAGTGAGTACAGTATGTTATTCTTCTTTTCTCTAGTCCCTCAATTCAACAACTTTTATACACGAGGGGAGGAGTCAGCCGGCTGTCCCGACGATGTAAACAAACTGAAGATAGGACTCTGAAAACTCTGAAAACATCACAGACAGTGGGACTCGGGTGTTACACCCATTGTAGACAGTCATGACTCACAGAGTTATTTTCAGAGGATAGACTTGATTTCTACATTTAAGTGTGAAAAATCACATATAAAGACTTTAAGGCTGCCCAACACTGTCATATACCAGTCAATCAATGATAGTCCACATATCCACCGACTGCAGGATCCTGTAGATAGCAAAACAATTATTAATCCTTTTTTTTTTTTATTATTATAATTCTTGGATTTAGTTTCCATGAAACTCTTTTTGATGCTATCGGTGTTTCTCACTTTTGATTAATAAATGCATTTTGACTATTTCAAGCCACAGGCCTTAGTTATGATCACTGCGGGCAGATATAACCTCACTATCCCAGGATGCAGGGAACACAATCAGCGCTCCTAGCTCATGGGGAATCCAAGCTGGGAGCACAATACCAGGTCTAGTTTGTTGATTAAATAAATTAAAGTGGGATCAAAACAACTTGCAGAGCAACATTAGAGGCTGTGATTACAGCGCTTTTATTTTCTCCGGTCAATTACTGTCAGAATAGATTGCTCTATAGGCAGATTGCATAATTGTATAGGCAGTGAAGTGAAGTGTCGCAGTGCTGCTTTGCACTGCTGATCATATTTAAAGTGATGGTGTGAGAGGAGATGTGACCTTAGCTGAAGTAAACAGGATATAATGTGAGCCATTACTGTAGATTTAAATACCACCCCAATCCAAAGAGCACAAACGCCTCCATTTGTCTCCTCAGATTTCCTTTATGCAACTTTATAATAATACATATTTCCTGTGTAGCATTTTCAAACGTATGGTTTAAGAAAATGGGTTTCTTAAGGACTTCAGAAAGTAAAGGGAGTAAATGTTAGAGGAAGCATTTCATCTCACTTTTATTGTAAAAAGAAAGAGAGGACTGAGCCCTGCTTGTGTATTTCTACCAGCCCTCCTTGGTCATGATACTATTTCTTCTCATTCACTGGGTTGTGGACGAGTGTTAAATGCACAAAGGGGAACAATGGCTGCATGTTGTAAAAGGATGCTGCTTGTTCATCGTTTTCACTTCTAAAACACAGATATTTTAATTACCATGGAGGTTGACGTTTACCATCCCAACACAAACAAATGAGCCAGAGGACAAAAAAGTGTTCGTCATCTCCCCCCCCCCCCCCCCCGGTGTCTCCCTGAACACCTCCAGGATGTTTGAGCCTCTCTCTAGACGAAGAAAGGTTTAGGCAGCATAAAACACTTTATCAAACTCCCAAACCCCAAAATTGATCTCCTTCTCGTGTAAAGGCTGCACAGCTATTGGAAATCTATCTGCATGCCGTATCAGCCCGCATGAGAATCCCACTGCACTGCACTCGGGAGGGAAACAGCCATGAGGGAGAGAGGGAGGACGTGACTCGCAAGGATGATCAACTTTTGACTTCTCCGGGGTTGTAAATCGTCTCCCCGTAACAGAAATCTTTAAGTTGGACCGTATCAATTCCTCATATTCGATACAATACTTAATCCCGTCCGTGGAGAAATCCTTTTGTTCATTGAATAGTGAAACTAATACATCAAGTCAGGACTAATGAAAGTAGCGGAGCAGCTCCTCAAGGTCAGGTGAGGCGGGGTTTGATCGTAGATTTAACAGACTGAGGCTGCAGAGCCATAAAACTGAATCAGATACTGACTTCAATCATATCGGTCCTGACTGGCCAATATCACTTCTTATTAAAAGACCTGTATCTGTCCAATATATTCCCACTCTGATATACGGGACCGGCTCTAACGTTGGCCGCCTCGCACTCTTTATCTGGTACACAAATTTGGTAAAATAGATTTCTGCAGGAGAACAAAATGAAACTCTGAATTAAGCAAAAAGCAGATCAATGAGTTCCCTGTGTGTCGGGTGGAGTATCACTTGTGCAGCATCGATAGACAGGAACAGGTGTTGCGTTGGGGATGGTTGGCCCGGGCGCCGCCGCACGTCGTTTATCATGTTTCATTATCCATTAGGAGACAAGGCGCTGGGCCATGTGATATCGAGTGGGCTCTGCTCCAGCGCTCCTGCACATTGAACATTCTAGGCTAATTTCAAATGAGCCCTTCAGGCGCCGGAAATACACGAGTCATGACAGTTCAATAAAACATCCCCCCGCAGAACGCAGGAATAAAAAAAAAAGATTCACAAATGGGTAAACACTCCATGACTTTGCTGTTTGTTTGTTTGTTTCGCCGCGCACAAAAAACTGTGATGCCACAAGTCGCAGGGATCTGTTTTAATCAGATCGTCTTGTTTTCATTGCGGCACGCTGCTTGTTGTGTTCTTTGTTATTTTTCTTACCTCGATGATGAGCGGTGCAAAAATACATACTCCACAAAGCTTTCCAGGACCTTGTCAGATGTGCAGCTTGCATCTCAAACACATTTAAAATCAAATTATTTTCCCAGACTTTTGCACATATAAAGCTTTATTCTCATCACAACATCCCTCTCATTTTAGATGTCTGCCTGCCAACAGGTGCTTGTTTCTTTCCAACTTTGAGAGTAAAAGCTAGGCGTGAGTCTGTCATTATTCTTCAGCTGAACTTTTATTTCTTTCTTTAGTCCTTTTTTAAAGAAGTAATTAAGCTGCAGCGTGCATCAAGAGCCTATAGAACATAAGATAAAGCTGTGTGTGCCTGTGGAGAATTATTAAGGCACACAGTTGTGCAAGGTTTGAAAGGATAAAAAAAAAAACAAGGCTGTGTGATGTTGTGGCGTGAGGTAGGGGGGACATGCCGGCCATCATAAGCAACAGAGACCAAACCCCCATCCCCCCCTGCTGATCATCCTCCACCCCCTGGGATCGTGAATCATATAAGCCGTCTGAAGGCAGAGATAAGGCTTCCTGTCAGCACATCATGCACACGCCTGTGGTCATCCTGCACATGGTACTGTACCTGGCTGAAGGCTCCCTCCACAAAGCCTCGCTCCCACATCAGCGTGACACATTTACACTGCAGAAACTCAAATCTTACAGTGTGTGTGTCTGATTTCTTGTCAAAAATATCTCATTACACTCAATATGAGATACAACCACCCCGGCGAGCCCTGAGAGACATCTTATTTCAAGATATCACAAGCTAAAACTAAGATCTGCTTTGCTTGTTATGAGTAAAAAATAGCTGCAAGTGCATCGAGTTATAAGTACTAACATATATTAAATTATTATGGAAATGCGAACTGTGCAATCTGAATTTTAACTGGAGGGATGTGGACAAAACAAAACATTTAAGAGCATCATATTCAGCTAATGAAAAACACTGATAGAGACAGTTTTTCACATTTTCGATGTATTTTCATGGACCACGCAACGAATTGATTAGTCAGGAGGATAAGAAAATAATATTTCATGAACAGTTTGTGACTCGCTGTCTTTGGGGACAGCTGTTGTTTTGCTCTCTGTTTAAACAACCCTGCAGCTCTGTTGGAGTGATTTTAATGATAGCGTAGAGTTTCAGCTTTAACTTTTGAAATAAAGTCATGTTTTAATGTTTTGCACAACTCTTATTTAAAAAAAAAAAAAGATTTCAAGCACTTTAAAAACACCTAGACACAGATAGACACAACATCGCTGAAAGGTAGAATATATGACTTTTTGGTCCAGTAGATGTCGCCCTTTTTGCACCAGCATGAAAACCAAAACAAATCAGATTGTTTGGCGACACGTCCGCCACGCCAAATCTCCGCTCTCCTCCTGTGATACACCCCCAACCCTCCACTCGTGTTTGCACAAAGGAGTTGTACTTGGCCCGAGCTGCAATAACCTGTTGTCTGCAGTGTTGTGTTAGCATGCTAATGTTAGCACTCTTTAGTTAGCTCGTAGCTTCACATTTCATGTAAACTGACACAGAATGAGCGTGATCTAAAAACTCTTACTAACATCCAAATAATCAGTGAGTATGTTCTTCTTCTTCTTCTCTCTAGTTCTTGACTAAAACAGCTTTTATA